CCCCCAGGACAGAATCAATACCTGTCAAGATGTACATCATAAGTAGATTTTGTATCGCGCACTCTCCCCATCCCGTAACTGATTCTAATAGCATCGGTTATGACAATTTGTTTATTCACATATATGGGTGCCTGAAATAAACAAATTTCAGATAATACGAGTAAGATTAAAAATGAAAGCATAAATTAGCTTATTTTTTTCCCCTTTCCTGTAAGATAATGGATTATCCGTGGTGACAAGGTGAAAATGATTGATATACCTTGCATCTATTTGCCACATTTATGGCGTCGGAGGGGCGTGCATCCACACTCAGAATGTCCTTTTCTCCTGGCTGCACAAAATAACCTTGATATAATAAGAAAAGGAATTTCATAAAGGTGCTTTCTTTTGAATAAGATGAAGGATTCATAAGATCAAAACTTTTTACTACCCTGCTGAAAAACAATCGGGCGAAGTAAGTATTAACTACTCTTTCTGTTATTTGTACCATATTCACCTGAAATCAAACGCGTACAAAAAATAAGAACGAGCAAAGATTATAATAATCAATGACTAAGTACTAAGAAGAAAGTAATTCGATACAGTTGAATTGCAACTAAGCCAATTCACAAGCCAAGAGAGATAAATCTAGATTCTACTTGATTATCGGTCACTGATCAAAATTTTAGGCTATCTAAATATGCATATGAAATAATCCCATAAATGGACTAAGAAAAATGGACATAAAAAATGTGTTACTACATGAAAATAGTCCATAAATATCAAAAGGTCCATACTTCATAACCAAGCTTTTCCACAAGATTTCTCAGAAACTGGAACTGGTCCGGAGAATCCTGCAAATAAAAGATCATATTTTGGAATAAAATCTAGCAAAATTAAGGCCTGGAAGAACGAGAAACATAAGAGTGTCAAGAAAAACACCTCATTGTCATCTCCCCAATGAGCATCCAAGAGTCTCTCTACAGCAAGTTCACCTACAATAATTGCACATACGAATTGCACTAAGATTTATTCACCATTAATACTCAGAATAATAAAGAAACAATTTTGGTGGCGAAATATTTCCCAGAGCCTAAAGATTCTCCACTACGAAAACCTTAGATCTGATTTTAGCATTAATAGCTTATGATGTTGACAAATATTTTTCCTTTCTTAACATAACAGTTCATTGTATCAAACTTTATGAAAAAATAATCCTAATCCAAATGTTTAAAACTTTGATGAAAGATTCCCTTTTTTTTTCCCCTATTCAATTCGATTAAAAAGGGAAAGGAAAATTTTTGAACATACCTACAACAATTGGGAGCAAAAACTCCCCATCACAAGAAATCTTGAGAAAAATTGTGGGATTCTGGAAGCGCTGGAGAAACCCTGGACCTACGAAATTGGCATCTACTCGCCATTCCTTCCTCTGGATGGAGAATGGAAACAAATTACCTCCTCTCGAATCTTCCTGAAACCCTCGCCTTCGCATACGGAAATGCGACGTCGTTTCTGCACTGACCAAACACAAATTTCAGAGGGAGAGAGAGGACAGAGAGAGAAAGAGAGAAAGAGAAGGACGGGACCTGAGAGAAGTAAGGAAGCTTGGAGATAGTCGTCGCGGCGGAGATCGAGATGATCATCGTCGCCGTGGTCGCCATTGCTGGATCCGCCGCCGGGGGAGGAGTGGCAGCGGACGATGAGGATCGGTTTGCGGAAACGAAACCTCTTGGATTGGAAGGCGAACCGAAGAGACATCGAGCAGTGATAGGAATTCAAATTAGGGATCGAACGGATGGCATTTATTCGATGATGATGATGATGACTGGGGGTCGGAACTCCGATGGCGCCGCCGCCGGAGACTGTACGGACGCACAATTGAGCTCCTCCGAGCATTCTGAATGAAACCGACGAAGACGACACAGGTAGAAAGAGAAAGAAGAGAGAGAGAGAGAGAGAAGCAGGGTGAAGGCTGTGAAGTTGCACTGCACGGTGCACGGATTGAGGGAGCAGAAAGTTAGTTGAAATTTAGAGAGAGAGAGAGAGAGAGTCGTTTTCAGAGAGACTTCTACGATGACAATAAAACAATTTGTCGTCACTCGTCATTTCCTTTTAACCCGTTAATTTCACATTTCAAATTTAAAATTTGAGATTTATAATAGTAAATTTTTTTTAAAAATAATTACATTTAATTTTTTAATTATAGTAAAAAAATTTCACATAAAATTATATATTAACTTGAATTAAAAATTTAAATTAATAAATAAAACAGACTCTTAATTTTTAATAAATTTTATTATTATTACTTTTTAATTTCATAAATAAGATCATAAAAAATAAATCATTAATAATTTTTTACTTTAACGATTAGATTTGTATTAATTTATATATTTTTTTAATATTATTAAGTAGTTTTTAACTAAATTTACTATTAAACTGACCGAACTCATAGAAAAACCTTACTAAAGAAAGTTTATTATTATTATTATTATTGTTGTTGTTGTTGTTGTTGTTATTAGGAGATTTCTTCCATTACATTTGAAAATTAAAGTATTGATAAGTTTCTATTTTCTACAGTAAATTTGTATTAAAAAACTATTTATTTTGTGTATTTTTTTATTTTGATATATTTTAATTAGATTTAATGATTTTAAAAATATTCCTTAAAATTAAATCTCATTTTATTTTTATCTCTTAACATTAATCCATATATTTCTACCTTTTAGAGTAGAACTAATTAAGGGGTATAGTTTTTATAAAATTGATACTTTTAATAAGTCATATACTTAATGAGGTAGAATCTGTAATTTTCTTTAAAAAATACACTTTAATATTATGAGAGGCGCTATCATAAAAAGATTTTAATTAAAATTATTATAAGAAAATTACTGAACTTACTCTAAGAGCATGTTTACTTTGCATTAAAGGAAAAAGAAAAATGAGAAGTGATTTTCTTTCCCAATAATATGTTTACATACAAAATTAGTAATGAAGATTTAGTGACCACACGCAATATAAGGAATGAGCAAAGGAAATGAATGCTAAATTTACTTATTTATCCTTAATGAATTATTATATAATTAATGATTATCAAATTATGTAAAAAGATATTTTAGTGATTACATTCAAATATTATTGTTTCTAATTTTAGTAAACATAAGAAAAGAAATGAGATTGTTTCCTATTACACAATTTAATAGTCAAATAAACACTTAAAAGAGAATGAATGACCCTTAATCCTATTATTCTACTTTTCTTTTCAACCCAATTATGTTTTTCATTACATTCCTTTATGGTTTAGTAAATGCGCCCTAAGAATGCACAAATCTTGATTTTTACCCTTATTTTTAATTAATACTCTTTTAACTAACATAAATTATTTAACTAAAAATATTAATAAAAAATAATGGATCAAAATCTAAACTTATACACTCAAAAACTTTTTTCCTCATTTCGCATTCTATTATTAGTATAATTTTCATTAGTGTTTATGTACTTCCCTTTTCTTTCCTTTTCTTTTTTAATTTCTCCAACAAAAGACTTGTGTACTTTGCAATTATCAACGAGATACCATTTTGTATGTATTTATTTGATTATTTTAGCTCAGATAAGATTTTGCTTGCATGTCTATGATGGATACCTTACTTTCGTCAAAATACTTTATTATTCCTTTCTTTTTCTTATTTCTTTTAACTTCTTTTTTTATTATTTTTTGTTATTATTATTCTTTTTAGTGCGTAAACAACCAACACAAGATCATTTTCCACCCACACAAAAAAAAAAAAAAAAAAAAAAAGATTGATGAAACCGCGTAGCATCTTAACTTTCAAGGCATAGTTGTTTTTAGAGTTTTAAATTTAAGCTGATCAGTTTTATACCATAATTGCCTCAACAAAATAATAGACATGAAAAGCATTTATTAGTTTATTAATGAAACTTTGAAATTATTGCTTAAGTAAGAATTAACCGGACACTTCAAAGAATCTAATTCCAGTTATTAACGTTAGTCAAAACAAGAATTAGTGAATTACCTCCTCGTTAAGAACTACAATTAAAGTTTTTTGTTTTCGACAGAAGAAGACTTGGATTAAGAAAAAAAAAAAATTGGTTACCTCACTCAATGCCCAAGGCAAAAAGCCTTTAAACCCTCAAATTAAATTAAGCATACAATTTATTTATTTTGTTTCAAATTTGAATGTCTATGTTGACATCAAAATTTTAATTTAAAAAAGAAGTTTCTAGAACCCAATAATAATTAGTAATTAGGGAAGAATAAGAAGCTAACCATCCATGGCGGTCTAATTTGGCAATGTTGTGGAGCACTAGTATTGTACATGCATCAACCGACAATACATAGGAGAAATCAAATACGATGCTCAAATATATACCTACAAACTTGAACAACTCATAATGGCTGGTCAATGATATTAATTTCCCTCCAATAATTTGCCTTCTGGATTTTAACAGTTTTGCCAAGGAGGTCTTCAGCTTTTAAACATTATCTACTCACTGAATATATTTTTTCTTATCCTTGCGCACCATTCAAAATTAATGTATGAGATTGTCGTTCATAACGATATTTGATGTGCTATTCTATTTTGCTTTCTAATGCATAAAATTATTCAAATATCATATTTATTTTTTGTCATGATTATTAAACTTTAAAATTTGTACACTTTTAATATTAAAAATTTTTTAAAAGATGTTATAATGATTAAATGAAAATTTTAATATATCAACTACTAAGAGCATCTCTAATGCTACTGTTGATACCAATATTATACTTTTGCTATTAAAATGTGTGATTCTATTTTGAGCTCACATATGTAATGTCATTTTAAGAAGAAAAGTTTTCAAATATAATAATAATTTAATAAGTACAGAAGAATTAGAAGCAACCGCCTATGGTTGTCTAATTTGCCAAATGTTGTGTGGCACTAATATTTTTATCTGCATGAACCGACAACATATAGGCAAAAACAAATACAATTCTCAAATCTATACATACAAAACTTGGACAACCCATGATGGCTGGTCATATTTTTTATACACCACTTTGGCGAGCTCTCTATGCATTTGATGATTTGGGTTTTGTTGACAAAGAAGTCAACGTTGCTTTGGAAGCAGTTTTAACACCTTGATTAGCTCATAAGTGCGTGTGTCACGACCAGAATATAGGCAGAGATCAAGAGGGGTCAAACCATCCTGCACCAAGTAGGAAATTGAAGTCGATTATTTCTTTGTTTTAACATGACATGATATGTAAAACAAGGAATTAACTATATCTATCACTATCTCCACCAGGACTTCGAACATTTGAGTTATGTAAGTTATGATAGACTTCTAAATTTCAAAAGAAATATGAAAACTTAATACTTGCAAACTTTGAATGTTCACAGTGCCGGCATAGTGCCGAGTTAATTTGTTGCTAATGAAAGGCGTGAAACAAAGTTACTGACGCACGGACAATCAAAAGGAAACAGACCATCTTACCTTGTTTTTTAAGGTCTTATCAGCTCCTTTGATCAATAAAAGCTTAATGACGTCTATTCTTCGAGCTTGAACAGCGAGATGTAATGGTGTCCAACCATCCTGCAAGGACAAACAAAATGGAAATATCTCTTATAAGATCATTGAGATGGCACCAAAAGGCTTAGCAACAACAAGGACTTATCAACTTACATTATCTGGAAGGTTCATATCAACATTATACAAGAGGAGAATTTTAATTGCTTGAATGGAAGCTGTTCGGACCGCATAATGCATCAAGGTTGCCCCATCCTGTTTCCAACAAACAGACAACAGAAATAAACAAATTACAAGATGTGAAGGCCATATTATTGAACCCAAACTGTTTAAACAAAGAAGAAAAGATTGCAACCACAAGCCATGAACAGAGTCAACAAGAAATAAAAATGGTTCCCACAAGGCAGGTTATTCATTTTTCATGCTTATAACACTATAAGCAGAACTGAAAGAAAAAAAAAATCTTCAATCTTCCATGCTAAACGAAATAGTCACTTAAAGCAAATATCCAAGCAATTAAAAAGATAAACAAACTACTCAGGGGGCTCTATATCTAACTCCGAATGTATTCTTGGATCGCTTTGCATGCATAGGCTTCAGTTTAGCATAATCAAACTTGGTACTTAGAAAATATGTTTTAACTATAAAGTACTGATTTACTATAACAATTACTAATAGAATTAGCTAAACAGTTAAGAAATGGCATTAAACAAGATGAAGTGAAGGTGAGAAGCATATACTCACTTTATCACAAACAAATGGATTTGCTGATTCCCTCAAAAGATAGTTAGTAATCGCCTGCTTTTTGCCAATTATTGCTTTGTGAATAGCAGTACAACCATCCTGGCATATAGTAAACCGAAAGCCAAAATGACGAAAGAATCAAAACATGCAACAATTTTCCAAATTTAATTTTCCATAAGAAGGAAGTTCATTTGACATACCTTATCCACAGCATTGATATCAACATTATGCTTCAACAGGGTATCAACAAGGTAAAAAGCTCCTGATGCAGCTAGAGTGTGAAGAGGCAGCCATTTATCCTGCAAACGTTTTCTTCATGATTTACATGTGCGGAGTTGTTGCTTTAAAGAAAATAAATCACCAGACTAATATCTGAAAGATGTAACTTTTAAATTATTCATTTGGACCCCAAATGAAAGAAGTATAACTCTAAGGAATCACGTAGTCAAGATAAAATAAATAGCAACTTTAAAAGAAGTGCAATAAACAATAAACAAGTAAAATGGGATGGTAATGGAACATGCAAGACTTACAGAGGCAGCAGTTTCCAGATCAAATATTCGTTTATTTAGCAGAACCTTTTCCTCCTTCGTAAACAACTTCCTTGGCCCTAATAAATTAAAAAAGAAAAAATAAAAACTTGAATTTTTTTTATACTTATACCAAGCACTACTTATAAAAATAAAAATAACAAAAAAAAAATCATGCAATCCATATTGCACATTAAAAAAAAGGGTCTTAAAAGGAAAAGAAATCACAACATTAAATAGATGTCAAATATTAAAACTAAATTTCTAGCCCCAATTGAAAATAAAATTAAAAAATATATATTTTGCTTCTCATTAGAATACAGAATTGGGAAAGATGAAAATTGTAAAATTATACAAAAGAGGAAACTTTAAACACATATATAACATATATTGCTTATCCCTAGAGTTGGGGAAAATGAAGAGAGAGAGATTACCTCCGGATTTCCTCTCAGCAGGATCATAATTCCCACCATTGAAGAACTCCGTAACATGATCGAAACCCTTTCCGTACACCGCCCACCTCGGATTCCTAGGGCTCACTCGGCCACTCGAATTCTCCTTCTCACCATTTCCAAATTCTCCTCCTCCTTCTTCGCCATTTCCCAAACCCTTGGGATTATCCAGAACCAGCGGCTTCAGCTGCGACAATTTGGCCTCGCGGAAAGCCAAATACTCCTCCAAATTAACATTCTTCAATGGCGCCAAGCCGCTCCTCTTCTTCTCAACCCTAGTCCCGAACTCCAACTCCTGAGCGATCTTCCGCCGCTCCTTCTTCGTGATGTTGATCTCCGCCTGGACTTCCCTCCACTTGTCCGGCACCAGATTCTCCGTCGGAACAATCGGAGCTTTCTTCTTCTTATTCTCCGGCTTGGCTAGGGTTTCGCCGTCTTCATCGTGGTGGAGAAGATAAGGGTCATCGAAGGCGCCGTCTTCGAAGACGACGCAGTCGCCGATGACGTAGTCGTCGGAGATGGAGGAGGAGAGAGAGAAAGGTGGTGGCTTTCTGAGGGAGAGTTTGAGAGAAGAAGAAGAAGAAGAGGAGGAGAGAGAAAGAGTGGTGGTGGGGAGGAGAGAGAAGAGATGGGAGGGTGGCTGTGGGTTTAGCAGAGTTGATAACACCATCTGTCTCTGATTCTCTTCTTCTACTCCCGGTAGAGTTTTACTTCTTCTAGCAGAGTTTGATAGTTTTGGTAATGTCTGTTTTCTGGCGCCAGAAAAAGGCCACGTTATTGGGCTGATTTTGAAGAAGGTTCATGAGATCCTTTGTCCAGGATTGTCTCATGCTTGGGCTGGACCTAGCTTTCTCGGGCGTAAAGAAAGCACAAAATTACATGTTCTGCCTCTTTTCTTTTTTTCAATTATAGGCTAAAAGTATAATTTTTAAAAAAATTTATCCCTTCACTAAATTCATCTAAAAAAATAAAAATATATGAGCTAATATTAACATATAAAAATGAAAGAAAACTCCATTTCAAAAGGTATTTTTAAAAATTACCCATCGTTAAGAGTGCGTAAATCTTGATTATTATCCGTTATTCTTAATTAATATCTTATTTAACTAATATAATTACTTAACTAAAAAAAATATTAACCGAGAGTACTGAGTACTCTGAGTAAGAGGGAGAAAAATACAAAGTTTACCATAATTTTATAAATGCATGTTATGTGTCTCATTTCAAATAATTGAGTATTATTGAGACTTATTGTTTTGACCCACGGTTTACTCCTCTTAAGTGCAATGACATAAGGAACGCAAAATAAAGAGGGAAAAAAATCTATAGAAAGACTACAGTGTATACTATCAACCCGCCGCATAGGTCGCAAGCAGCATTGATATTCACAAATCACAATCACCAGTAATTATGTGTACGACCTACAAATGAGACCCACAGTCCCTTTTAAAGCTTAAAAAGAAAAAGTGTTAGCGACAGACAAATTTTGTTAATCCAGCATGAAAAGAACAACCTTAACCGAAATTAAGCCAACATACGGATTACATAATTTCAAATTCAGCAATCCTATCTTAAACTTTGATTACAAGCACTCCAAACGCTCAAAGATAAAAAAAACAAGCACTCCAAACTAACACAACTGTGTGCTTAACAAACTCCAGAACCACATTTAATGAAACGTCATTCATTACACTGCCATCTAGTTTTTCCCAAACTTGGCCTCACCTACCATAAGGAGACCTGGATCGATCCCTCCTTGACCTTCCGCCGTATGGAGACTGCCTTGGAGAAAAATCACGACCTCCTCGGTATGGTGAGCGTCTTGGGGACCTACGATACCCATAGTCATCACGGCTTGACCCTCCACGATGCCTACCACGATCACGATCTCCACGGTAGCCTTTTCCACCAATCCAAGTACATATTGTAAGGATAAATTACGACTAGAAAACGTATAAAAAACAAATATAGCACAATCAATTGACAATCAAAAGCATATTGAACTAACTTACCATAGTCTCTGGTGCTTTTCAACCCAAGGTAGTGCCCAGGTGTTGGAGTCCTTGGTCGCTTCCTCCGTGACTGAAAATCAAATGCAAACCCCAATCCTTTAACTTTGGACAGAACGGATCAAACAGCAGCAATTGAAGCAATTATGAAACAAGCAAAAGATATCTAGGTGAAAAATACTAGTCATTTTTTGGAGATTTTCAAAAAGTTCACAAAAAATTCATCAGTTGAATCAGAATAAAGGGGGAAAACTGGCTAAGGAAACTTGTAAAACATATCCAGGCACACATGACTAGTGTCCATGAAATGAATTCCAGGTACGAGATACCATAAAAGCGTGATTAGAAAGTTGTTGGTAATGTCCGTTGATTAGTTGAGTGTTGAAAGTGAATGCTGAGGTTGTATAGTTGTTGGGCAATATAGTTGCTATGTTTAGTTGATCACACGCATTTGAAAAGCTGTTTAAGCTTGCCATTGATCAAGCTGTTTCACTAAAGTTGACATGGATGAACTCATCATCTTTGATTGCTGCCAACAAAGCTGACACAGCAATGTGTTCTGAATATAACCAGAAAACCTCCAAGTCAAAAAAGAAAGATAACCACTCAACATCATTGAACATCTACAACTCAAGTTAAAGTAGCATTACCCTCTCTACAGTTATGTATCGGCCTTCTAGAACTGATTGGTTGAGATACTTGACGCATCGGTCTGCACCTTCGACAGAGTCCATCGTAACAAATGCAAAACCGCGAGAAATTCGTGTACGAGGCTCCACCACCAGAAAGCATGAAGCAACCTAGAGAACGTAGAAGAATCGACAATAATGAAAAAGGTGGTTATCCTCTGTACAATGAGAAGCATACATGAACAAATGAAGAATTGATATTACACAGCAACATACCTTTCCCTCTTTTGAGAAATGATCTTCAAGGTCCCTTTCTGTGACCCTTGTTGATAGGCCAGTAACGTAGAGCGTGTTCCCCTGATTTAATGCCTCAGTTCTGTAATATAATATATATATATATATGAGCATAAAAATGGCCAAAACTATTTGCAAACAAGTAGAATTTGATATTATGACTCGTTGAGAGAACTACACAAGGCCATTAATAACAACTAAAGAAACTAGGAAGCCAAAAGGAGAGAGCTCTCACGCTAACCTGCCATGACTTCTGGACCTTGACCTGCAACAGAAAGCAACAAACACACACAAAAAAGGTGGACATCAAGACAAATGTCAGAGCCAACAGAAAGGCTAAAAGATTAAATCTAAGAGGAGTTGTCAACATGTTCCCAACATTTTAAACACTTGACTACCTAGCAAAATAGTGAAAAAACAAACCTGCCACGGCTTCTGGATCGGGATCTAGGCCTTGGCCTTGACCAGGATCGAGATCTTGACCTCGACCTAGGTCTTGACCAAGACCTAGATCTTGATCTGGACCTGGACTGAGCTCTCCATGGGGAAGGGGATTGCGAATGCCTGATTTATCAAAAGCATGGGACATAAATATTGTGAAATCAAAAAATTAAGATACTAACAATGCAAACCAAGCTGTATATAACAAAATTCAAGGAAAAGAAAAGTCTTACAAAAAAAAACTGTGAAAATAGTGAAGAAATATCTGATATGTTTAAAAAAAAAAAAAAAAAAACAAGTTTCTTCTTCTTCCAATCAAGTTTTGATTTCCAGCTTCATAAATTAAAAACCATGAAAACAAGCTTTCAAAAGCATTTACACAAAATTCATGAAATTGGAATAATAAGATATTAACAGTGCAAAGCACGCTATACCTACACACGTTGAAATTCAACCACAAAAAAAAAACCCCACAAAAATAGAAATTATATAGTACCAAAATAAGAAAGCAATATCTGATATGCTCTGGAAAACGTTTTATTCTCTTTCAATCAAGTTTTCACCTCCTCAGCTCGTTCTCTTAAATCCAAATTACGTAACCCAATTTCCCAAATCACGAAAGTCTAGATCTTCCTCTGGTATTATACATCTATACAGGGTTATACACCTATACACACAGACGTACAAGTATATATTTCAAAAAGGAACACCATTGAAGCACCTTTGACCCGTTCTAAATCATCCAAACAAAACAAAAGAAAAAAGAATGTAACAAAAGCCGAAACATCAAAAGAGTCTCTTAGCTCCCAAATTGATTATATTTTCCAAGATCCAAGATCCCGAATTTATTTCTCATCTTATTCTCTCAAACAGACATCTCCTATAAGAAAATTTCTGAATTTCGATGAGAGAGATTAAGGGCTTACCTTTTGCGAGGAGAATCCGCCTGCGAAGAATCAAAAGCACATTGGCTTGTTAAGTACACTTAACGAAACACATATATGTATGTGTATATATATATATATATAGAGAGAGAGAGAGATGAGAGAGAAAGCTTACCATCTTCAGAAGCGGAACAGGAGGGAAGGGAGCCGGACTCTGGAGCAGGCAAAATCGAGGAATTAGGGTTTTGGGTGAAAGAGAATGAAAAATGAAAAATGCTTTCGACTCGGAAAGCGTATATATAGTCTAGATGGGGGCTCCAAAATACGCAATGTCGTTTTGGGAAGAAATGTGTCTTCTTTTCCTGATAAATATATATTTTTCTTTTGAGAAAAAAAGGGACAGGTCATCAAAGTCGTGTTGAGGAATAAGGACGTCGTTTTTCGCGGATTCCTTGCGCCCTCTATATATATATATATGGCTCAGTTTAAAGGCCGGATTTGAGTTTTTAATTCAAGTTGAGATGTGATTTTATGTGAAAATTTTTTATTATAATAAAAAAGTTAGATGTGTTATTTCTGAGAACTTTTTATTGTAGCAAAACTCGAATTATAAACTTAAATGGCGAAATGAATAAAACTTAAAATTATTTTTATTTTTTTACTGTTGCTCAATTTAAAAGCAACAATTTTAGTTAGATTCCACCGTGTTTTACACTGAGCTACTAAATAGTTTAAAACCTTTATCTTCAAAAGGGGAAAAAAAAAAGTTCAAAACCTGTAATAGCAATTGTACAAATTGTCCATCAAAAAAGAAAATTGTACAAATTGCTTTTAAGCGCTTTTTCCAAACGAAAACGACCAATGCCACGAACGACAATGAGACTAAAAAAGCCAATAAAGGACAAAAACGACATGCAATTTAACAATAACTTGAGAAACGACAACAAAAGAGTATTAAACAAAAAACGATAACAAAGGTAAAACGAAAATAGGTCAGAGAAGGGCAGCATTTTATTTTTTATTTTTTGAAATAAAAGAATGAGAATATGGCGTTGAATTATTTGCTCTCATAGTCATACAGTGAGTCTGAGTCCTCATTGGAAAACACTTCTACTTCTAAGTTGCGATGAATTGGCATGAAAAACAAGTAATAGGCACCTATATAAATATATATAATAAATAATAAACTCCCCTAAACCAAAATTATCTTCCTCAAGCTTTGAGGACAAAGATGGTGAAACATCAGAAAAAAAAAAAAAGTATTTTTCTTCAATTTTTGGTCTCTGCATCACCACTTCATCTTATTAGTCAAATTAGTTATAATGCAAAGATACGGAAAATAGAAAATTTCGTGATGAAGATTGAAGGGGCGATCAGAAACCAAAAATTGAAGGAAAAAACTAGTACAAAGGGGAACGGTTAGTGTATTCGTGTTATGATTTGAATCATAATTCGTGATTTATTACAGTATTTTCTTTTAACAAAATACACGTAAATCGAAAATAATTTTGAATCATAATTCTGAATTCATAAACTAAACGTCAATTATTGAGGCTATGGTCATTCATACGAAAGATATATTCTTTTGTTCGTTTATGTAATTTTGTCCATTTTTTTTTCCTTTTTTCTTTCTCTTCTTTTTTCTCTCTGCCGATTTATGTTTATTTCTTTATGGTAGCTTTTGTATTCTAGCAATTTTTGTGATACTGCTTTGTTGAGGCAAAACTAAAGGTGTGAATAAATTAGCAATTTTAAGTACTATTATGTGCTTTATTAATTATTAGTTATATACAAGAATAATATTTTTTTGTTATTTACTTTGTACCCTCTTGATATATGTTATAAGTTTTTCATGAAGATCGTTGATCAATAAGCAGAGTTTTTTCAAGAGTTAAGAGTTATTTTAGAATTTGAATTACTTTAGAGCTATTTTATATAATATTTATCTATTAAAATTTATTTGAGTTTGATTGTTATTAGGATTTAGATTTACTTTATTTTATAATTAGAACACTTTTAGAATTTACGTATCTATGAAAGGCCTCTTTATATTTATTATTTTCATACCATAATATTCATATTTCCCCCTATTATTCTCCTATTTCTTCTCTCTAATTCTACAACAATAAAATAAACGGCCATGAAAACATAAACCAGAATAACAAGAAAACAACATTTGGAAAGCAAATAAAAAAAAGTAGTTAAAAAAAAGAGTAAAATCCCACAATATTTTTTATACTGTGATGATCCCGCTTGGTCCCGTTCACTTCACCGATTCGAGTTTAGAATTCGAGTTTTGCTACAGTAAAAAGTTCTCAGAAACAATCACATCTAATTTTTTTGCTATAGTAAAAAGCTCTCACATAAAATCACATCTCAACTCGAATTCTAAACTCAAATCAGCGAAACGAACCAGGTATAATGAAATGGTTAAAGTCAGTTTATACTGTGATGATCATGGGCTTTTCACACCCAGACTCCGTGTTTTACCAAAATAAAACACCTTATTAACAAAATCAAATCACGAGAACACTCCTTGATTTTTTAGAAAAATTACAAAGACACCACTTCAATTAGTTGACCGTGGCTGTTGATCAAAGATTGACTGTTAAATTTTTCTTGATATTTTTTTTCTTCAAAAATCCCTTACTTATAGTAATGTTCTCCATCCACTAACAAGTAGAGTGTAAATATAATTTGAAATTGTTTTAGTTAAATGCAGGGGATATTGATGAAATTTGTTTTAGTCAATGGGTGTCTCTATTATTTTCATAAAACAAAGGGAGTGTAAATGTAAAAATGCCATTGTTATTATAAAAAAGTATTAATATGCATGAGACCATATTAAAATTACGTTAAGGTGACTAATAAAACAAATATTACCTATCATAATTTGTATAGAAAAAATAAAAAGTGTATAAATTTAGATTTTTTTCTCACTCTTAATAAATATTTTTTTGTTAATGTAATTATTTGATTAAAAATATGATGAATTAAGAATTAAGAGTACTGTCAAAGATCCAATTGCCATGACTTTATTGTGAAACAAATCATTGGGCCAATACTTGGATAGCTTTTTCATTTGCAAATCACGCCACCAGGTATAATGTTGGCGTTGTTAAAGAGGCAAAATCTACAAGCAACATTTCTTGTATCAAGAAGGGAAATCTTCAGATCATCAAGATTTTACGTTTCTGGAATAACAAGTAGAGGACCTTGTTATAGAGACGCTTATGATTTTACATACTTGTTGGAGCAATGTAAAACCACCAAAGCAGTGAAAAAACTGCATGCCCAGATAATTATGGAAGGCCATGAACAAAACCCAAAAGTTGCTTCTAAGCTAATTGGCAAGTACATTGGGTGCAATAACACGAGTATGGAAATTGCACAGAAGGTGTTTGATAGTTTGTCTAAGAGAGATGTCTTTCTATGGAACATGGTAATTCAAGGTTATGCAAATTTGGGTCCTTTTATAGAGGCTGTCGATTTGTATCGTCGGATGCGGATTAGTGGCTTGGCCGCGAACAAATACACGTACCCTTTTGTGTTGAAGGCCTGCGGCTCAATAAAAGATGGGATGAGTGGTCAAGTTGTGCATGGACATGTTTTAAAATCTGGTCTGGACTTGGATTTGTTTGTTGGGAATGCTCTTATTGCCTTCTATTCCAAGTCTCAGGATATGAGGGCATCCAGAAAAGTGTTTCATGAAATGCCTCAGAAAGACATCATTAGCTGGAATTCGATGATTTCGGGATATGCTTCAAAAGGGCACGCGGAGGATGCTCTCAAGCTTTTCTGCTCAGTGGTACGGGATCATACGACATGTTTCCTTGACCATGCCACTCTTGTTAGCACACTTCCTGCTTGTGTTCACACATCAGGCCTCCAAGTCGGATTTTGGATTCATTCGTACGTAGTAAAGTCAGGCATGGAAGTGAATGCCGCTTTGTGCAGTGGTCTAATATCAATGTATGCAAAATTTGGTCGAGTGAGCATCGCAAAAAGAGTCTTTGATGGAAGTAGAGACAAAAATATAGAAGTTTGGAGTGCAATGATGAGGTGTTATGGAATGTACGGGTACGCGGATGAGGCGCTCAAGCTGTTCCAACGATTGCTAGATTTTGGGTTATACCCGGATGGTGTTGTGTTTTTGTGTTTGTTGTCAGCATGTAGCCATTCCGGCATGGTAGAAAAAGGCTGCGAGATTTTTGAGAAAATGGGAGATTTTGGAGTGGAGAAAAAGGAGAAGCATTATGCTTGCATGGTAGATCTCTTAGGCCGGGCTGGGTTGATGGATCAAGCAATTAAGTTCATCAAAAACATGCCGGTGAACCCGGGGAAAGATGTCTATGGTGCTTTGCTTGAAGTGTGCAGGATACAAGGCAAAATAGAACTCGCTGAAGAAGTGGCTGAGAAGTTGGCGGTCTTGGACGCGGACAATGCTAGGCGGTTCACCACTCTGGCGAAAATGTACGAAGAGAAAGGGCGGTGGGAGGACGCGGCAAGAATGAGGAAGGAGCTGAGGAAGAAGAAAATTAGGAAACTAACTGGTACTAGTTCAATTGAGGTGGATTGCTTTCATTCTTCACTTGGAGAAAAGGATGAATTAACCTTTGTCAGTCTAAATTGAAATGTAAAGATGAATAACCAACTATGATAATTGCCTATCAGCATTTCTCAATCTTTGTAGCTTTTTATAAGCAATTTCATTTTCTTTAAAATTTTGAATGGATAGACTACTAAAAAAAAAAAGAGGGACAATTTCACCCGAATCATCAATTTTATTATAGAAATAGAGATTAGTGTTTCTACTTCTAAAACGTAATTAGTACGGTACATTATGTATATATTCATTATCTTTTGATTTATACATTTAAATAAATTGATCAAAAACGAATTAAAAAACTAAAACAAGACTGAACTGAAATTGATATAATATATATAGAAAACGACATGTCACTGAATTATTTGCTCTCGTAGTCATATATTAAATTTGAGTCCTCGTTGGAAAACACTTCCTAATTTAACTAGTAACATTCGCATTATTCCTACTTCTAAAGGGTAATGAATTACCCTAATAAACAAGTAATAGGAATCCCTCTATCTCACACTATATATATAT